AATAAATCAGGTTTTCAATTAGATTTGACACTCGCTCTTGTCCAAAACAAACTTTTCTGTTACTCTGGACAAAAAGTCAATTTTCCCCTCAAGTCCACTTAATAATTCACAAAAAATATCCCATATCTCATTATTTTTTGTGAGTATGTGATTTTATTCAATTTTTTCCCCCGAGGACATCGTCTTCATTCTCTTCACACATGGATATTTTTAGAAAATGCTGAAACCGGAACAGTGGCGCCAATACAGAAATTACTTGCTGACAAATCGGCGCAGGCTTATGTAAGAAATTGACTCTGATTAGTTCCACGCCTATCAAAATCCTTGAGGGTCAAAAGGTCAAGCAGACTCTCATAAACCTCGTGTAGGAGTCATCCATTTACCTGCCTCAGGTGAAGGTCTCAGATGTTACTGCTTACAGTGGAAATTTTTCATTGCATTTTTTCACCGCCCCATGAAATTAGTATCCACATATCACATTTTTTGTGAAGTATCCCATTAACCACAGCTCTGCAAAATGTATCAATTATCGCGAGCAAGGCTTTTCCTTCAGCAACATGGCTTTGGTCTCAAGTGGTGGCCATCTCTTGGGCAGAGGATTATGGGGTGGGAGGACGCTCGGGATTGTTGAGTCATGCTTTTTGAGAACAGGGCTGGAGGCGGCCGTGCATCTCCATGGCTCATAGATTTAAGTACACTGATAGGTTGTCACAGGAAACACAGAACACTGCACTGCAGAGAGAGAGAGAGAGATAGAATTGTGTTATCAATACTGTCTACTGAAGCGTGTCATAATGTGATTTTTATGGTACTTTCTGTATTAAAACCCTTAATTGAGTCACACACAATGGAAATGATCCAGAATCTTCCTCCTGACAGGGGTCAAAGTGAGCCATTTCACAGAACACAGTGAGAACAAAGAAATATTGTGTCAGACTGATCGACCTGTAGACACAGACTGAATCCATTTGTCTTTTGTCATTTCAGTTCTGTATAACCTGGTTCATTCGGGCTGCTAGGTTTCTGTAGCTCGGTTTGAATTGGCCACAGACAGTAAAAAGGTGGGTTCACACCAAGGACAATAACTATAAATAGAATATTATGGTGTGAAATGGTCCTTTATTTTTCCTTGTTTGCTGTCTGTCACGTCATAGCAACTGCTTTTGAGTTAAATGGAAATGCTAATAAGTGGCTTGGTATTATACACCTCCATGAGCTGAACTAACCTGAAAAAATATGATTACCAGGATACCATGTTTGTTCAATTTTATTAGTGATGTGATGCAGGCTAGGCAATCACGATATGAGGTCTCAGCCATTCCCCATTCAAACATACAGTATTATATGACAACAGCACAGCTGAGATGGCCGCTGAGGGGAGCGACATGCTTTAGAGAGACTGTGGTTCAGCCCAGTCCAGCCTGTGAGAGGTTTATTCTGTGAAGATCCCCACTGGTGTCTAGAGCGCCAGGCATCATTCCAGAACATCTTTATTTCATTACAGCAGTAGCTCAGCAGTCGGTCTGTGTCTCTCGAAGGCTCCGTCTGTTTCAGCTGCTCTTCCTACATCTGATTAAGAGACAGCACAACATCAATAGTCTGGATTCAGAACTAGTTTGACTTCTGCAAAGGCATTGCCAAAGCAATGGAATTTCTTAATGCATTACAGTGTCAATTAAATATTGATAAATAAAACAAACAAAGAGCAAATATAGACCAATTATAGTCACCAACAAAATTCAAAGTACCACCTAGTAACAGCATTCCCTCTGAGAGGCAGGATACATAAGCAAAAGTTTAAAGTGTGCATTGGTAATTTTGTTTCATGCACTTGCAATGACTAGAGCTTTTTTTGTGTTGTTTCCCAGTATAATTATCTATGCATTCTTACAATCAAGATATTTTTACTTGGGAAGTGCCTTAAGATATTAAGTGTTGTTTTCTCAAAAATGCATAAAAATTAAGTGGATTTGTGCTTAAAACAAGAAAACATATCTGCCCATGGGCTAAGAAAAATAAACTTAATTCAAAGGGAAAACACGGTTATTTTTCTTACCCCATTAGATATTTTTTTGTTGTTTTAAACGTAAACTCACTTAATTTTGATTGCATTTTCAGAAAACAAGACTTTATTTCTTTGGTAATTTTCTTGATTTAATAATGTTTAGTTGTTCATACAGTAAAACAAGTCAAAAATACTTTGAAGGTCTTAAAAAGGTATTACGAGGGTATTATAACTATTCTGACTTTTACACTATATTCCAAGTCTTCTGAAGTCATGTGATAGCTTTGTGCCATGAACAGACTTAAATTTAAGTTGTGACTCGATCATTGGGTTGAAACTGATAACCGAAGAAATTTGATTTGCTTTTGTGAACTGAATCAACTGATTCATTAAAAAGATCTGACTCAAGAATGATTAATTCACAAATCGGGCAACTCATGAATGGTTATTAACTCATTATGCAGCACTAGGGTCTAAATTGTTTGGGCTGTTCATTACAAAAAGTTAAAACATTTTGTATGAACCCCCTTTCATGGTCCTTTTTATGATGCTTTTTTGGTAATTTTAGAGCACCTGTCCTCATTTACTGTCATTATATTGATAACAGCCAAGAAAGTATTTTTTGTGTGTGTGTGTAAATAATGACAGAATGATAATTCTGGGGGTGAAATATTTATTTTTCCCAAAGAAAAAAGATGACATATTAAAGAGATCTTGTTTGTGTACGGCTGGGTCACTTTGCCTGCTAATGCAGATATGAGACAATGATTTGTTCGGAGAAAAAAAAAAAAACAGTTTCCAAACAGTATGAAAATGTCCTACAATCTGATTTCTCTCTTTTTCTCCTCAGACTCTTGCACTCTTTCAGGGTGTGTGTGTGTGTTTTCAGGCCATGAACAGACTTAAATTTAAGTTGTGACTCAATCATTGGGTTGAAACTGATAACCGAAGAAATTTGATTTGCTTTTGTGAAAGCTTTTTGTGATTTTTGCTTTTGTAAAAAGATCTGACTCAAGAATGATTAATTCACAAATCGGGCAACTCATGAATGGTTATTAACTCATTATGCAGCACTAGGGTCTAAATTGTTTGGGCTGTTCATTACAAAAAGTTAAAACATTTTGTATGAACCCCCTTTCATGGTCCTTTTTATGATGCTTTTTTGGTAATTTTAGAGCACCTGTCCTCATTTACTGTCATTATATTGATAACAGCCAAGAAAGTATTTTTTGTGTGTGTGTGTAAATAATGACAGAATGATAATTCTGGGGGTGAAATATTTATTTTTCCCAAAGAAAAAAGATGACATATTAAAGAGATCTTGTTTGTGTACGGCTGGGTCACTTTGCCTGCTAATGCAGATATGAGACAATGATTTGTTTGGAGAGGCCTGTGAATTAAAAAAAAAAAAAACAGTTTCCAAACAGTATGAAAATGTCCTACAATCTGATTTCTCTCTTTTTCTCCTCAGACTCTTGCACTCTTTCAGGGTGTGTGTGTGTGTGTTTTCAAACGGGTAGTTTGCTCTCTAATGGGGCATGTGTTTTTAATGTGCACTAAGCTCTTGCCGTTTGCACACTCTCATATTCGGTCCCCTTCATTACTTCTTTATCACCCCTCTCTCTCTCCATCTCCATCAGTTTCCAAACAGTATGAAAATGTCCTACAATCTGATTTCTCTCTTTTTCTCCTCAGACTCTTGCACTCTTTCAGGGTGTGTGTGTGTGTTTTCAAACGGGTAGTTTGCTCTCTAATGGGGCATGTGTTTTTAATGTGCACTAAGCTCTTGCCGTTTGCACACTCTCATATTCGGTCCCCTTCATTACTTCTTTATCACCCCTCTCTCTCTCCATCTCCATCCCCCCATCACCTGAACAGCACTTCTCCACTCCACTTCTTTCTTTTCTGTTGTTTAATTACTCTTGTTCTCTTTCTCTCGGTGCATTAGTATGGGCGTAGGGTGGTAACCGAAGTCTTTCTATAGGCCTACTTCACTGCTCTTGTGCTTCACTAATAACAGCCGCTGCAGTAATTTATAGTCTGTTGTCTGTTTTAAAGGCATCAGCATGTTTAATACACCTGCTCCACACAGTCACGCTCGTCTGGCCACTCTCTCCTTCTTCAGAGTGTCTCATCTCTCTCTCTCTCTCTCTCTCTCTGATGCTCGCTCATGCCATCACCACAGTCACTAAAATTCTGTCTTGCTGTTTTCCCCCTTTTTTCTCGCCTTTTGTAATTTTCCCCCCTCTTTGTTTCATTCTCTTCTCCTCTTTTCCCACCCCACCATCCATCTGCAGAACCTTGTGCATATCTGAGCTTTTTATCTCTCCGTCGCTCCATCCATCACTCTGTTTGTGTGCTGCTTCCATCCATTTTTCTAACTCTCCCCTTGTCATTAATTCAAGATGACATCAGATCTATCGCTCTCACTTCCTCTCGCTCTTCTCCTCTTTATTTTTTCCATCGGGGTGGTGTGGAGGGTCACCTCTCTCTCTGAGTACGTTCCAATCGCCCGATATTGTGCTCAAGTGCTCTTCTCAGGGTGTTCGTATGGAGTACAGTATGAAAGGGCATTTTGTCTATAAACAGGTTTCCGTCTGCCAAATTCCATGAAAATGTTTGATTTATGCACATATGCTATCAACTTCACATAAATTTTAATGTATAAGAGAAAGTATACGGAATGCTGAAACACCTTTAAAATATTCACGTTGAAAATTTTTATTAGGGCTATATAGTTTTTATATGTATTTTATTTATTAAATATAAAAAATAATGAATGAGTGAATTAATTAAAATGATTAAAAACAATAATGGGGTAACTGCAATATTTAGTTTTTATATATATAGTATTTTGTCTAGTGAACTGCTAGATATAGCCCAGTAGGCCTATAGGGAGCAGCGAACACTTCAGAAAGCAGTTTCTCTCTGTATCGCACATCTACACCTGGCCCTGCGACTACTGCTGTGTCTGGCTTGTTCTGTGGATGCAGTAATGGAGTCCTTGAACTCGTTAGCTGTGAACAGTCTAATCCCACATGCTTTCAACCCCCAACAGGTGCTGAGTGCAACCCAACACTCGTTTGTGCAGGATGGAGGGAAAGAATGCTGCAGAGAAAAGAGAACAATCTGGAGGGCTGACAGGAAGAAAGAGGGAGGCCAGTTCTCATGGGGAAAGAGCAGAGGGAGAAACTTCAAAACCTCCTCTGTACAATGAGAAGTTCTCACACATACACACATACACACACACACACACACAAAACTTCTGTCACGACTTTGTCGCCTTTTTTCTCTCCCTTTTCTTAAATTTTTTCTTGTAGGCATTTGTTTGGATCATTACATGTGAGCTTTCTTTCGAGGCTGCGTCATTTTGCCACAGCTGGTGGTCTCATGCGAGCCGCAAGTCTAAGTTATTTAGATTAGATTAAATAATATATCACAGTATTAGTTAACTGTGCAAAAAAAAAACATAGTTGCCAGGTCTGTGCAACAAAAACCAACCAAATGACCAATAAAACCAATCAAAAACCAGCCAAATGACCAATAAAACCAATCAAAAACCAACCAAGTGATCAAAAAATAAATAAATAAATAAAATAAATAAATAAATACACCAACACCAAAACACAAAATATTCCCAATTATGTGTTCTCAGAAGAACAAAGTCTGACAAAATCAGGGTCATTGACAAATGAGTTTTATTATTTACAAAGTAATAAAATACAGGACGTTTCTACTGAGGCAGGACAGGCTGGAGGGGGTTGATAATACAGTATATATATGCACACACAACCGTGCTGCTTTTCCTTCATATGTAGGCACATTACCCATAGTTACCTTATTTCTGCTGACATGCTATTTCATCTGTACATTCAACGTATCAAAAACCAACCAAATGATCAATAAATAAATAAATAAATAAAATAAATAAATAAATACACCAACACCAAAACACAAAATATTCCCAATTATGCGTTCTCAGAAGAACAAAGTCTGACAAAATCAGGGTCATTGACAAATGAGTTTTATTATTTACAAAGTAATAAAATACAGGACGTTTCTACTGAGGCAGGACAGGCTGGAGGGGGTTGATAATACAGTATATATATGCACACACAACCGTGCTGCTTTTCCTTCATATGTAGGCACATTACCCATAGTTACCTTATTTCTGCTGACATGCTATTTCATCTGTACATTCAACGTATTTAAATCATAACCACAGCGGTCTGTCAGTTTCCATTAAATATAGTATCCATCTGATCCTTTTTGACTTGCACAAGCAGTTTGTTGGTCAAAATCCTTACAAATCTAATTTTTGCAATATGTCAAATGCAATTTGGAGATTTTACATATTTTTGTATTTGTATGAGATATTATTTTAAACAATAATTTACTGAAAATAAAAGAACTCAAATACAAGAAAAAATACAAAATAAAAAAACACAAAAAAGTAAACTAACTAACTAAATATATATACATCCATATATACAGTATATATATATATATATACACACAGCAAAATCAACTCTGCTCAGAGTACATATTGTCCCAATCTGTTAAAGTAACACTGAAGCCGAGTTAACGTTAATGGGATAATTAAGCAATTATTAATTAATTGATGAGTGAGCATTAGTAAAGAAAACCTGCTGTTAATGTTGAAGATGAACAACAACTGCTCAGGCTTTTAGACATGAACATGAACTTATCACATAATCCTCAACAGTGGTAACGCTGCTTCAGTGTTACTTTAACACTCTGTAGATTGGGACAATATGTACTCTGAGCAGAGTAACTTTGGGGATTTTGCTGTATATACATATATATATATATATATATATATATATATAAAATAGTCTAACACAACTTAAACTTTTTTTTTTTAATTCTTACGCTCAACTCTGTGCAATATGTCAAATGCAACTGGAGAGCCTGCAGAAAAATGTTGTAAAATCAAATGTTGGCAAAATGGCATAATATAATTAAAATAATCACAATTTCATTAAATAAGAAAACAAGTAAAAATAAGAAAGACACCACTTTTCAATTAGTCTAATTGCGGAGAGGGCAAAATAACTTTAGTGAACATTTCAAACAATTCTGGTACCTCATGCAGATCTTATAAATCAGGTGTGTAAAATGTGTAATACTCTAATATAATAAAATCTGCAATATTTTTGGCTGTTCTGAGAAAAGCACGTTGCAAGCTGCAGCCAATTATTTTTCCAGCCATTTGAAATTTTTGATGTAATCTTTTAAAAGTTCCCTGCTGCTTCAAACGCTCCATCATTCTGGTCCCCAAAAAGCCCAAAATCACTGGACTTAATGACTACAGACCTGTCGCTCTCACGTCTGTGGTCATGAAGTCACTTGAGAGACTGTTCCTGCCCTACCTGAAGGACATCACTGGACCCTTGCTGGATCCTCTCCAGTTTCAATATTTAAAAAATTATCTAAATAGGTTCATTTTCATTACTGTTTAACATTAATGGGAATCTAAAGAGAATCATAAATATAAGAATAATGGGAGTTACAAAAAATGGCAAAAGTACCTGGACACATAACTGTAACGAGAATTAGCTGCTTAACTGTCATGAAAATAATGCCACTATAAAAAAATGGCAAAATAGACCTCGAAATATGACCTGGACCATCACCTGATTATACTCATAAAGTTTAGACAAAACCCTTTCTCATGCACACAAGCACAAACGCATGTGTTCCCACAGCGCACACACACCCGTGACACACTGCCACATCACACAGACTGGCTCCCACACACACGTTCACACACCACACGAGTGCGTGGCTGTTTACCCGTAAGTCATCGTGACGCACATCGCAGGGGTTAGAGGTCGATACTGAGAGCAGCTAACGTACAGCAAATCTCTCTGTGTGTTTTACTGAGGTGAATAATTTATGCAGCTCTCTCTCACACAAGGTTGTGATTCTACTTCATCACTCTCTCATCTACACTTCAAACTTCTGCTCTGATCTGAACAGAAATGCTGCCAATTCCTGTTCTTCCTCTTCGTCCTATATAACCAAATCCATTTGATCACTTCTGCTCTTCTTTCTTTCTTTCTTTCTTCGAGTCCTCCTTACTCATAGGAGTGAAAATGGTTCATATCTCAGTGGTTTCACTGCATGACAAGACTTATTTAGTTATTACATTTAAATAACATTGACATTTTATAAACTTTTCATCACCAATATTAAAATTCTACTTATGTTTCTCATTTTATAAGAAACATCTGAGACCAAGTTGATACTTAAAGTATAATATATAATTCACTCAAAAATATATATTTTTTCACCATAAAATATTTTATGTCATATGAAAACAATATTTTGGTGTTGATTTCAAACCGACTGACACATCTTTACGCAACATACATTTAAATGGAAATGAGATTAAAGAATTGAAAAATATGTTTATAATTCAATATAAATATTAATATTTAAATAGAATTTACATTTTATTTTATACATTTTATTTAATCCCCAATATTAAAAGTCTACTTCTTTTTCTCATTATTTAAAGAAATATCTGCAACCAGAAAAGATATAAAGATCACAGAAAAATTAACATTATTTCACTATCAAATCTTTTATGAGAACCTAGGGCATTTTGGTGTTGATTTCAAACTGATCATAACACATCTTCATGTGAAATATTTGAACAGAAATTAGATTTAAGAATTGAAATATATATTTATATATAATTAAATTGAAATATTACTACCTTTTTAAAACATTTACATAAAAAAAAATTCTTTCATTTTTTCCTTTCATCAATATTAAACTTTTACTTCTATGTTACTTTTGAAGAAATATCTGAGATCAAGTTGATAGTAAACATTATTTCATCATCAAATCTTTTATATGACACACTAGAACCAATAGAATTTTGGCGTTGATGTCAAATCTGTATGGGAATTAGGTTTATAGTTCATAACTGAGATATCCATGAGAAAGCAACCTCAGGGCAACTGAATTTCCCTCTGGGTTACATTGAAACACTGAAGGGATGAACTCTAGCAAAAACAGCTGATAGGATAATGTTGAGATATCAGACACCTACAATGTCAACCAACACCAGCAATGCTGACCTTTAGCATGCTATCTGACTATGTTATCTTCCTCCTGTTCCTTCTTCACCTGTTTTCCCCTCTCCATTAGATGGTGCGGTGTGTTAGAGCTGACAGCTTGAGATGGCAGTGTAGCCGCTGTCAGACCTGCAACACTGAGGATTGATAAACAGCAGCTGATGGTTCAAGGAAGGTGTGTGTGTGTGTGTGTGTGTGTGTGTGTGTGTGTGTGTGATGTCCTTGGACCAAACCTGCACTCCTGTATAGATTTTCTTTTTTCAGAGATTTCACAAGAGGGTTTGCATACGTGTTGCATTGGATTATCCCTGCGGCAGAGATTTCGAGTGAGACCTGTGGATGACATATGAAACACATTGTGAAAACTTAATGAGAGAGACAGCCAGAAAGATAAAACACCTGCAATGAGAAGAACAAGACAGTGACAATTAAAAAGACCCACAAGATAGAGTGAAAAGCAATAAAAGCTCTTTTTAAGAAGAGTTTATCCTAATCTATTGCAAACAGCCCACAAGATATTTTGTCTATTGCTGAGGTTATATTTGTGCAGCATCACACTGATAACCCCGCCCACAGTCAAATGTCATTGGTCTAAAATCATGCTGCACATAACTGTATATTAAACAACAAATATCTCAGAAAGTGAAAAATACAAAATAGAGCTCTCAACAAAATAAATAAAGACTAGCATCAATAATATAAGAAATATTTATTATTATTCTACATAAATGTGTCTATATTCAAATAAAATTTTAAATACATGTATAATTACATTAAAATAAAATGTATCATATAAAAATAAAATAATAATATTATTATTACATTATTAGATTTTAATATGAATAATTACAACAAATATATATGATATATTTTTTAATTAAAAACGTAAATTCATTAAAAAGAAAATACTATTTTAAATTAAAATAAAAAAATTAACTCTAAAATCAATTATTTTAAACGCTTTATGCCTCACAGCATTGATGTACAGTATAAAAAAATTAATATTCATTTTCACACAGTGTTTTTAAAGATTAACTTTAAAAACGTTAAAAGAAGAAATACGTATGCAGAATTAAGCATGCAAAATAAGCTGCAGATA